TATATATATATATAATATTGATAAAACATTTGGACTCAGTGTGATTGTATTTTTGAAAGAAATTGATAGTTTTATTCAGCAAGGAGTTACAGTAAAGACATTTATAATAGTACAAAAGATTTCTATTTTAATGAAATGCTGTTCTTTTGAACATTCTATTCGTCAAAGATTCACGTTTCCACAAAAATATGAAGCAGCACAACTCTTTTTAACATTGCTAATAATCAGAAATGTTTCTTGAGCAGCAAATCAGCATATTAGAATGATTTCTGAAGATCATGTGACACTGAAGACTGGAGGAATGATGCTGAAAATACAGCTTTGATCACAGAAATACATTACATTTTAAAATACATTAAAATAGAAAACAGGTATTTTAAATTGTAATAATATTTCACAATATTGCAGTTTTATTGTATTTTTAAACATATAAATGCAGCCTTGGAGAGCCTAAGAGACTTTTATATAAAAAATGATTGCCGTTATTGCACTTTAAATAAATACTCACAAAAAGGAAGTTTTGAAGGTTACAGTATGTTTTTAGCAGTACATCAAACTTGTATTTCAAGATCAAGGTAAATGATTTCTCATGAAACAAGTGTTTTAATATTGCTGTTATCTGTGTGAATTTATATTCAATATGATGTTATGCAGCATATATCAGTGCCATCGTATGTTGTCTGGACTTAAGATTGTCTCAGGAGTGATGGATGCTGGATTAGTGACGTGGAGCCGTCGCATGCATACTAACCACCAGCGTGTGTGTGTGTGTGTGTGTGTATGTGTGTGTGTGTGTGCAGGAGTTGAGACGGGTTAATGGTGTGATGTTGGCAGTAATCTGTGTGTTCTCCCGTTAGGAGATGATGAAGATCTATGTAAAAATGTTACAGTGTATCGTGTGATGAGGATGATGATGGTGATCGTCATGGTGTTAATGCTTTTGTCTAATAAGTCATTATAGCCTAGAATAATGGAGGCTGAAAAGGCTCTTCATCTTGTGTAAATTCATAAGGAAATCATTGTTGTCTCTTGTAGAATTCCAGGGATTTATCTTTGCGTGATTATCCGGCCATATGTGAGACAGTCTGTGTGCAATTCATTCATGTTCCAGTCCTGACTGCAGATGCATGCTGTAGGGGAAAAAGTGTTTATAAATAAATAAGCATATTTTCAGTCTCTAAGATTCTGAATACCTTAAAAATATATATACCAGATACACTTATTTTTTTTACTTTTTAAGTTGTAAATGAAGATTGTCGGAGTAGGTTTTGCAGGAAAATACAATTTCAGTCTTTCTACTTAAAAATGTCACGTTTCAATGTGTTACTTGCCATTTCTTTGTAATTATTTGTGAAATTTACTAACATTTTCTGAGTGAAATTGCTTGTACACCCTTTTTTTGCAGTGTACACTATTTTTTTTGTAAATAAAACCAAGATTATTGCAGTACATTCTACAAGAAAATACTATTTCAGGATTTCTACTTCAAAAGTTCATGTTTAATTCACTGTCACTTGCCATTTGTCTTTCTGAAATTCTTTCTGCGCCAAGTCTCCTTTTGCATAATACCGTATTGGCCCGAATATAAGACGACCCTGATTATAAGACGACCACCCTTTTTCCAGATGTACCTTTTGGAAAAAGGCTTTTTAAAAACCAAATCTTGTTTTTTCTCAGTAGAACACATTTTGTCTTCAATTATTTTCATATTGCATATTTTTCCTATTTTAATTTTTGTTTTGAAAGTATGGTAAAAACTGGTCAAATGTAGCTACAATCACATTAAAAAAAATATACACTTTTTGATATACGGTACCATTAAAAAAAAAAAAAACAGGTAGCCCATCTGAATTAGGACATTTAGGCTATCCATCTAATTGTAGCCCACCAATAGGTTATTAACAGTAGAAGTTAAATCTTACTGTAGTCTTCAAATCTGGGTACTGTCTTACGTTTTAAAATCACAAAGGGAGTTTGGCCCCATCAGGCTAACGTGACAGTCACGACTCATGCAGCTGTAAGGTTTTCTTTTCCTTTTGTTCTTACTCGCGATCATTACAACACGCATTACATTACATATTTCATAAAATAACTTTCCCCAACACTGTGTATATATATATATATATATATATATATATATAATATCACTGTCGGTCATTAGTAGCTTTTAAAACATTGATCTGTTTGTTTTGAGTGGCCTGATATGTCACCTTCTGACTTGACCAATGGCATGAGTTTGGGGGCGGTACTATCTCTTAGTCTGACCAATGGCAGATGTGGGAGTGTTTAAAAAATTGCAATACCATGTGAAAATTACATACTTCAGCTTTAAAGTTGAGACATAAACAGTCTTAGATAGGTTTAGTGCCATTGAGAAGCACCACTTATTAAACCAATCACATCTGCAGATGCTCTGACTTGTTTAACAACACAGTGAGCATCGCACAAGCTCTCGTCCTTACATTCATTGGCTTGTGTTTGTTGTATGTGAGCTCTAGTGCTGATCGAGCAACTGAATGTCATGTCTTGGAAAAAAGAGAGAGAGAGAGAAAAGGGAAAAAAAGAGGAAAACACAATTGCTTTTAGACAGTGAGTGCGGGAGACTATTGTATCAGTATCGATTCCTGTAGCGCTGCTCTATTCTGCATGAACTCCACGAGACAGCGGCAGTGGAGGCTGAACTGCTTCAGACAACATGATGCTTATTGAGCAGGTTCAGGTTCAATGCCATGCTGCCTATTAGTAATATGCTTCTAAAAACAGTCCTAAACTTTCTTTTTTGTTTTGTTTTTTATTTTTATCTTTATTTAAATAAATGTATTTTATTTAAATGTATGTATAACCCTTTTTTGCATTGTAATATGCTTTTTTTATTTTTGAAATAAATTTGACCCAAATCAGTTCTTGACTTTTTTCACTCATGCACACTTCACAGTATGCCGTATTCAACTGCAGCCATTGACTTTTCTTCACCCGCCACACTTTAATTTACTTCAGTACAACATGTCCTTTGAGTCAAGCAGTGATGATTTGATTTGAATATGATTTTGCGTTTGATTTCTGTTGAGTCTCTCTTCTGTCGTCACAAATCTGGCGTCGTACCGGCCTCATCCCTTCACCCGCAGGCCTGTCTGCTTGCATTTCACATGGGCAGCGAGCGTCCAGTCAGGGGCCTGGCCGGCCAATTTGAGCAGTAACCTCCCCTCCAGTGTGCACCAGAATCTCAATAATGGGCAGAGCGCGAGCGCCTGGAGTGGAACACTGTCGATCTGGAGGTCTTCTGTGTGGTCTTTGGAGCTCTAACCCACATATCCACAGGCACAGGTGCCCTCTCTATGGGGCCAGGTGGCGGCCCATTCTGCTCCTGCTCTTCCTTAATGAATCCGTAATTGGTTTGAGTCACCTGTGGAGAGGAGAATAGCAGGGGTGACGGGTTGGGTTAGTGGAGGTTCTGGTTGAATCTGACCTGGCTTCATTGTGCGCAGTAGTCCAGCACAGACCCAGAGCCCTCAGCAGCAATTTACTCTTCATTTCTGTCTCACAGACACACATATATCCTTTATACACTCAGAATAAAAAGGTGCAAAAGCTGTCACTAGGGTGGTACCTCTTCGAAAGGTACACTTTTGTACAATAAGGTACCAATATTGACTCTACAAAGGTGTACCTTTTGAAAAGTTGACAGCTTTTGTATCTTAGTTTTTTTTCTGAGAGTGTACATTTAGCACTAAAGCGTTGTAAAGCTCCACACTGCATACTATTTACAAAAACAGTATACAACAATCATAATATGCAGTACTGTCTGTGGTCAGTAAGATTTTTTTTCCTGAAAGATGTTAATACTTTTAATTAGCAAGGATGCATTAAATTGATCAAAAGTGACAGTAAAGACATTTATAATGTTACAAAAGATTTCTATTTCAAATAAATGCAGTTTTTTTTTACTTTCCATTTTTTTAAAGAATCATGAAAAAAATATCCAACATTGATAATAATCAGAAATGTTTCTTGAGCAGCAAATCAGCATATTAGAATGATTTCTGAAGAATCACGTGACACTGAAGACTGAAGGAATGATGCTGAAAATTCAGCTGCGCATCACAGAAATAAATTACACTTTAAATATATATTCAAATAGAAAACAGCTATTTGAAACTGTAATAATATTTCACAATATTATTGTTTTACTGTATTTTAATCAAATAAATGCAACCTACAGTAGGTTACCGACCCCAGACTTTTGAAATATTAATGCACACTGTATACTGCATACTATTGTTTTTTTATTATTCTTGTAAAACAGTATGCAGTATACAAAGATAAATGTTTCAAATAGTAGTACGCTAAATTTGCCACAGGACCATTATTTTACATTGGAATTATTTAGTTATTTAGCTCTTTTTTCTTTCTTTTTTCAGATAGCTGACTTTTTTTAAAATCCTATTTTATGTAAAAAATATTTAAAGTTTTGGTAGTTTGATTAAATAAATCAGGGAAAAAATATACATTTTAATTTTTTTATATATTTTTTTTAAATATGGTTTCTATTACTTCCAGTTTGGTCGTCACACTGCAAGTGAAAGTTCAAGTCAAGAGCATTGCATTGTGGGCAACAGTGTTCTTTAAAGTGTGGTGTGTAGTGTACATTTTGGCAGATGTAGTAAGTGATGCACTGTATTCATACTGCTCAAATAGAATGAGTAGAATTCATCCCCTTGTGTTGTGATGAGTGTGAAGCCATTATGTTGAGTCTCTGGTATTATATTTGTCGGAGTATCGGATGCTTTCTTGCATTGGTGACATTATTAGACTTGATTTTTCCTCAAGAGCGATCATGCTAATGTTTTTCTCTGTTTAAGTACTGGAATAAACTTTGCTCTGTTCATTTGTAGCTCTGCGGTATCAACATATGGAGCAGAATTATTGACTGGAGTGTTTTATTATGTGTTGCATGGCCCTTAAGTGTGTCCTGGATTGATGAGCTCATCTCTCTGCTGCAGGTGGTTGCGTTGAGCCAGCGCAGTAAGGAGGCGGAGTCTGCATTCCTGGGAATATACAAACAGCTGATCGAGGCCCCAGGTGAGCTGCACACCTGCCTGCGCCATCACACACACACACACACACACACACACGCGCACACACACACAACCATACATTCACCGCTCAATTTCACAGGACTCACAGGAACATTTATATACACAACTATAAGAGATAGCTTACATGATATTATTCATTAGATTTTTTAATGCCAATTAGAAACCTGTTTAAGGTGTCATATATCACGTAAAACAGGGTTTTTGTACTCTTCTGAGGTTTATTATGTACTATGTAGACATACTCTGATCTCAGAACATAAAACTAAATAGCATAACGACTCTGAAATCGTGATGTTAAACCATAAGGTCTTTTACATACTGTACTACCACCCACATTTATACATAAACATTTATTCAGTATTTAGTTCAGTGTTATTTTAGTGTTATATATATATATATAAGTTGCCAAGGCAACATTTGTACATAGAATTTTGCAAGTTTTTTTTTAAGTTGACATTTTTTATCTAATATATATTTTTTAATGTAATAGTTTTAGTAAACAATAACAATGCTGATTTAGTCACTTAGTGCACTATATTAAACTATACATTTTATGCTTTTGCCAGTTTTAATTTAAATTTGATGTGCTTTTGCCATTTTTATTAGTTTTTGGGGCGTTTTTAATATTTCTTTTTTAGCTTTGTTTTTGTTTCAGTTTTAGTCGTTTTTTCAACTAATTTTATTTAAATGAATTTGCCAATGCAACATTTCTAATTTTCATAGAAGTTTAAATGTTTCATTTAGTATATGTATATATATTTTATTTAATAGCCTTAGATAACAATAACAATACAGATTTTGTCATATTTTATGCTTATGACAATTTTCATTTTCATTTGATGTGCTTTGTCATTTTATTTTTTTTTAATATATCTAGTTTTAATTTTATTTTTATTTCAGTTATAATAATTTATGACTGAAATTTTATTTCATTTTTATTAGTTGCCAAAGCAAGTTTTAATTTTCATTGAGGTTTTTAATCTAATTTGATAGTTTCAGCTTTACTTCAATTATTAAAAAATATTTTTATTAGTTTTAGTTTTATTTAACAATATCAGCACTGATTGTTTTCACTTAGTCCACTATATTAAAGTATATATTTTATGCTTATGACATCATTTCCATGAGCTCATTAGATATGGACTTCTTAAAGGTACAGTAGCAAATGTTGCCAAGGTGACATTTCAAATTTTCGTTGTTGTTTTTTTCATCTAATATTTACATTTTATTTTGATTTCAGCTTTACTTCAATTAATGAAAATGATTATTAATAATTTTAGTTTAGTTAACAATAACAACACTGATTTAGTCACTTAATCCCGCTATATTAAAGTAAATATTTTATGACATAATTTTCTCATTAACATATAACCATCTACATTTACATATAAACACCTTTACTGTATCTTGGTTTGCCCTCATGAGGTCATTTAGATATGAACATCTTAAAGGTACAGTAGCAAAAACGGTCTGTTTAGAAATGATCATGTAAAACTGTTACTGTTTTTGTTGAGTACTGTAGTAAATGTTTGCAAAAGTGTAGAAAGTGGCCCCTTTTTTATGCTTGTTGGATGTGTTTGGGGTCATGTGGGTCCATATGGTCTCAGGTTCTGTTGACCGCAGCGGGCCAATCAGAACTCAGCTGGAGGCTAACCGACTCTCACAAGTGAAACGTGGGATTGATGAGGAGTGTAGAGCAGAGGAGAGGCGATAAGAGAGAAACCAGACAAATAGAGACGAGAGAAAGAGGACAGGGGCCTGACGCTGGACCGTCCTATCAGAGATCACAGGAAGCTGATGCCACTGTTTACACATCCATTGACTCAGTAATGGAAGCTTCTGCTGGAGAGATAAGCTCCAAAACCTAGGGAGCTGCCTACATAGACAGCATTTTCAGGCATCTGACGAAACAGCCGTTTTAAAAGGTATGCTGCCTTGCTTTAGCCAAATTGTAGCCTTCACAGAGAATGCAATCCCAGAATGCATTGCGACAGGTTCGGTGAATAAATCCAAGATGGTGGATTAGGCAAACTATGTGTCTGCCAGTGCTGAAAAGTAATGACTAAACATTTCTCAGTGTAATTTTAACCAGTTTTTGTGTGTGCAACATGTTTTTTATGCTTATTTAAGTATTGCAATGCAGTATGTGCTATTGAAATCAGTTGTGTTTTGTGCGAGCAGTGCTGCATGTGTAGAGCATTTCAAAACAGTTACACATGAGGCTCATGCTGCCTATATAGACAGACGTTTTGTATAAAACAGGATGACTTTAAAGATCTCTCTGATCCCTTGCACTTCATATTGTTCCGTGGTCTTTGAAAGAAGTAATGCATTTTCTTTTAGGTAAAGTGTCTCGCTTTGAAGATGTATTTGGTATGAATCCCTGACCTATAGCTCTCCTATCAATATTTTTTATGTATTAACAAAAAGCGTATTTCATGGGGGTTTTTTTTGCACTTACAAGAGCACTTGTGATTCTTTCTTTCATATTTAGAGAATAAAAACAAATTGCAGGACGCATGTAGGATGTGGTGAATGGTGCAGACAAACGTTAAACAGCCTTCTTGCACGGCAAATAAAATAGTGGCATTTGAGCTCCAGATAGATTTGATTTGTTATTCAACTAGTTTTTAACTTTAAATGTTTGAAGGACTTAATGCCATTCAGAAGTTTGGGGTCAGTAAGGTTTTTAGTGTTTTTAAAAGAAGCCTCTTCTGTTCATCGAGGCTGCATTTATTTGATCCAAAATACAGGAAAAACAGTCATATTGTGAAATATTATTACGATTTTAAAAAAGTGTTTGCTGTTGTAATATATTTCAAAATGAAATGTAATTCTGTGATCAAAGCTGAATTTTTAGCATCATTACTCCAGTCTTCAGTGTCACATGATCCTTCAGAAAAAGGACGATTTGGGAAGAGATTCATTCAGAACGAATCCGCTGCGTGATTCGGAGGTTATGCGTACATATGAACCGGCAGGACATAAGCTAAAATACACTTGCTGCACGTCGCATTAAAACGTTCAAAAATGTCAATATGTGGGAGTAAGAGAAGAGCAGACATATAGATAAATCTGACGAAACAAGAGAGAACTCAATTCGGTCCGGTTTTCTGAGCGCAGACACTGAAGCATACACACACAGAAAGCGCCTCTCACAGCACGCGAGTACTCTTTAGCATCGCATGAATGGAGAATTACACACAAAATGATGTCGAATTGTCCGTTTTGACGAGTATTCGTGTAAACACAGTTGATTACGTCTTAAGTGAACGTAAACAGTTGGGAGAACGTGTATCAGTACATTGCATCCATTGCAGCTGGGCATTCGGTTTTTAAAGGGACAGCAGCCTAATTTAGTTGCTGTCCGAGTCATTGATGTTAATCAAGCAACAACAAAAAAACAGAAAATCTCACACTGTTCTTGACTGAAAAACTTTAGTAGCCTTAAAGATCAATCTAAATTTATTTATAGAAATAAATATGTCTGCTTGAAAGAATGAAGAATATGGTAAACAAGTTGCTATAAAGAATGCATAATTACCCTATATAACCATTGGTATTTCATTAAAAAGAAGACCATGTTCTTGTTCTTTATGAGAAGTGGTTTTATTTAACTTTAACATAAAGGCATGTAGTGTGTCACCGCAGTTAAATCGGTGTCTATCATGATAAAACCTTAATATCAAACTTATATAATGAGTTTGGAAATTTTAGAGAAATGCTTAATAAATGCACTGTAGCTAAACCCATTCGATTTTAGCCGACTAAATTTACTGTAGATTTAGTCAACTAAAATCTTATGATATTTAGTCGACTAAAACTAGACTAAAACTAAAAACAATTCAGGCAAAAGACTATGATGAAAACTAAATCAAAATTTGCTGTCAAAATTAACACTGGATTTATGTAAAAAGACCCAGTGAATAACTCCCAGTTGACCTCGTCTGTGCATGCTACAAAAGGGTGACGCTGTCTAAACGCAGCCAAAGTTTCCCCCCAAAGCCGCGGTCATCAGGTGCGCGCGTAACCCGCCGTTTGACCTCCCTGCGAATCGTCCTGATGACGAGAGCTATGTTTTCATCTGTATCGACCCCTGACGGATCCTGCCATCTGTGAGGGGGAGCCTGTCGTCTACAGCAACCTATTAATCTGTTCTTTCCTCTGGCTTTGAGCAAGGTCACCCCCCCACCGCCATCACAGGAATAAACCGTCCCAGGTGCCGTAAAGGACAGTAAACTCACTCTGAAACACCGAAGATTGTTGATCAGACATGTCGATGGAATTTTGTGTTCCTCATCAGAGCACAAACGCACACTGAGTGTCTTTACATGTACAATAAAGTACCACAAAACAGCACATAATAAAAACATTTTAGGGATTTTACGTAAACCCAAAAGTGCAAAGGAAAATTCAAACAGGCATGATGTGCACAATTTGAAAAATTTTCTCAATCCAATTTTTTGTTGTTGTTGTGTTCAGTGGTGACAGTATTGAAGTATTTTTACTTTGTTGCTGTACTTAAGTACAAGAATCTGTACTTTACCTGAGTATTTTTATTTGGAGAAACTTTTACTTCACTACATTCCAAAGCATAATATTACAGGTTTTACTACACTACATTTCATAAAAACATGTCGTACCTTGTTATTTTGAACTGTAGAAATCGTCACCCATTCTGAGACGTGATAGTGGTGTCCCCAGTGTTGGGGAGTTACTAGTTACATGTAACAGCGTTACGTAATAGGTAACACTTTATTTTAAAGTGTCCTTGTTACACGTTACATGTACTTACTATTATAATAACAATTAATTATGCATAATTACATGCAAGTAACCCTAAGACAAATCCTAACCCTAACCATATAGTAAGAACATGTAGTTAATTAATATTACTCAGTACTTTACACTGTAACAAGGACACCTTAAAATAAAGTGTAACCAAGAAATGTAACCGTAATCAGTTACAGTTACTCAGAAAAA